TGGCCCCTTTGAGCAAAATAGCTACAACCCCACAGTTGTTGGTCTTTGCCTGTTTGAGACCTCACTTATTATATAGGAAAGTAATATGGTGTCATTGCATAATGATGTAACACAACATTACTTTGGCTCTAATGGTGTTGGTGTAAAATATAAATGGCATTGGTTTCAACTTTATTTTTTAGGTTTTTATGATCAGATTCTTTTATATTGGATTGTTCCCCGTCGTTTCACATTGCTTATACCTAACAGGGTTGCCATTTGGCCATTTTGATGTCCAGTTTCCTACTCACTGGCCGTTTTCCAAATCCATTGCCTGTCAGATATCGATTTGGCCAAAGAAGCAAAAGTTGGCCGAAGTTTGGCCACGAATTTGGTAAAAAACAACTTTTTACAGCCAATATATCCAACATTTTTGTTAAAAAAATTTTTTAATAATTGATAAAAAGAATTTTGTTAAAAATTGCAAATTTTGAAAGATAGTATGCATGAAATTAGCATCGGAGCAGGGCCACTTTTTGCAAAAACAATAGAGTTTTTTTCAAAATCTTTTGTTATGGGTGTTAAATTTTCCCTTGGCCCTCCCACTTTTCAACCTTTGTCGGAGCCCATGCGGAGCATCGATCTGGAGAGAAATCCTCACATTGAGTGATGCATGTGCATTGCTGACAGTGACAGTTTAGGCCACTTATGGTTAGCGTCCCATTGTTGTAGATGAGCGCACTTGACTATTTTTAAATAAATTCTTCCTATGGAAATACTCTGTTACTTTTATTCTGTGCGCCTAAGAACCTCGAAAGGAATAAACAGAAACGAAAAAATGTTAAGTTTACCGTTCCAATGTTTCCTTGGATTCCTGGAATGAAAGGCTTGTCTCGTCTCGTTCTCGTTGCTGGATTGATTTTGAAGACGAGGCAAAAGAAACTGTTGGAACAACAACCGGCAAAATTTGAAAAGCAAAAAGTACTAGGGCATATTTGGCTACCGGATAGAAATATTACGAAAATCTTCTTGCGTTATCAAGTTTATTTCAGTATGAACATCTTTTTGTTATTCTTCTTTATCGCATTTATTATTTGTGATCGACAGTTCTTTTTATCTTGAGTTATCCAACAAGGAAAATTTAGGCCTAAATCGAAAATCGCAAGTTATTCACAATTTAAGCGACAGTTGCTATGTTTGGGTTGCTAAGATAAGGCTTTTGAACCATTTTCCTTAACTCGTGCATTAGTTTGCAAGTTTCTTTTTGCATTTGATTTATCTTTCTGTTCCCACTTAAAGACAAATTTTATGAGATCAAAATTTTGATAATTTATACCCAAATTAAACTTTTTTCAGGTTTTGTACTTGCTGTGGTCTATCCTATGATGATTGGCAACCAAGTGCCTAATATCAATCTCTTCAATTTTGAAGAACCTTTTGCTGAAAATAGCAAATATGTCTTAACCAGTCCACGATCACTCAAGGTATTAGTTTACATTATTTTATTTTTTGCTAAAAATTGTTAAAGCACCAAGTGATGTACAGAAATTATTATCTAAACTACGTAATTTTTACCAGGTTTGAATCCATGTAAGGCTCGCGCCGGAAATTCGCCAGCCATAAAGGATTGACAAAATATAAAAAATATAGTCTTTGCTGGAAATTTCCAGGATAACCTACATGAATTCCACCCTGGAATTTTTAAAGTCAAAGAAGAATGAATGTTGCACAATTTATTGAAGAATCTCATTTCATTAATTTTAATCAAATTCATTTTATTAAGCATTGCAATTCTTTTCTTTTTTAATTACTTTATTTTTCTCAAATTTCAAGCAAGATTGTTGGTAGCTACGGTCTTGTTTCTGATTGGCCTTTTTCGATCCACAACTGGGTATATATATATTTTCTAGCATAGAGTTTTCGATCCATATTCTGACGTTGTAAACTCTGAAGAGTGTCAGATGAAAAGCTTTTGTTTACTCAAATATCTGCTTTTTTCAAAGCCATTTTCGAATCTTTTAATTCTTAATTTAAGAAGACTAGCAGTTTTTGCTGGTTACTGTGTTTGTGGAATGATATATTTGAAATATGATAAGGTTAGAATACATTTGAAAAATATGGTGGTGTCCATGGTGTAAGAGGCTACGGTGGTGTCCTGCCCTTAGATTTTGGGTTTAAAACCATAAGTTTGCATTATTTTGCAGCTTATGCTGTAAGGCTTGACGAGTATGTATCATTAAAAATCAAATATTCACTACACCTGATGTCTACTTTTTGTCCATTAATTCTTACTTCTTCTATTTCTAGGCTTGTGAAATAGTTGGAATCAAGGTGGGTATAAAGCCAGTTTTTGTAAAGGAAAGGTTTTTGTGAAGTTTTTAATGTCTATTGAGAATGCTAGCTAATAAAGCTGCTATTATTTGCATATTTCAGTGCTGGGTTCAATTTAGCAAAGGTGTTCAGTATGGCCAAGCTCAAACCTTAATTTTGATATTTGTCGTTGAGCATTATGCTATTGTTTTAACAACAATTAAAGTTTGAATCAAGTGTAAAAAAACCTATTTAGATTAAGAAAGTATAAAAAATTTATCTACTCACAAGCAAACAGCAAGCTTTCTGTACAAAACTTTTTCCGAATTTCATTCAGTGACAAAAGATTTATCTTGACAGCAAAGTTAGTGCTTAGGCTTACAGCCTGTTGTGACATTAAATTTATACCATGGAAATGTTTGGCACTGATTTCATTTTCTTACAAAATAAATGGGAAAGTTGGAAGAAATATAACAGTCAAAATTTTCACTCTTACTTTGACAGTTGAATCACAAAGTCTTTATGCTATCTTTAATGTTAAAGATATCAACTTACTGAACAATGACTTGATAATTTTTATCCAATTGGATCTTTTGAGATGTTTAGAGTGAAATTTCCAAAAAAAGATCTTTTGTCTATTTTTAAATTCTGTTTCTCTGCTGAAGCTATAACAAAACCTCTTTTGATTTAAAATAATTTGTTTCTTTAGTTTCAAATGATATTTTGCATTTTGTCAGAAACTGTTTGGCAAATACCTTTTAATAATTTGCTATTCTTGAAATCTTGAGATCTGGAACCTTTGAAGTACAAATTTAATTACCTAATTTTTGTTACCTACATTCCAATTTTTTATTCTTGTTCTTGTAGCCAGTTGAATTGTTGCACAAGCCTTTGTCTGAATTTGAAGATGAATATAATGGAAGGCTTGGTCCAGATATGATTTTGGATAGATATCAAAGACGTGAACAGCAAAGACTAAGTTTGTTTATCTAGAGACTTCTCTACAATGTTTAACATCTCTACAATACCAATTGCAATTTGACAAAGACCCTTTAAAACTCTTGAGTATCATAACACCATAGGGGTAAGAACAAAAAAGGGAGTGCTGCCCCCATCGTATTTCTAAGAATTGGCAGTCTTTTTATGAATGGACTGTTAAATCTAACTGTTTATCTAACTCTAGGGTACTGCAAACCTAGCACTTTATGTTTTGTCGCAAGTTTACAAAATATATCTGCAAGTTTCTAAGCTGCTATTCCTCAAATTGCTATACATGTTTAGCCTTACTATTAGGTTTCCACTTTAATGCACTTGTAAAGCCCTGTTGTCAAGTACGTTTTAAGCCTCGCAAATCTTGTCTCAACAGATAATTTGGAGTGGATGATACGATTTGTCTGTCTCAAACAGGGATGCTGCGGTATTGTCGAGAAGAAAGATCTAGAATTGTTGATGAAAAAGAAGAAACAGAAAAAAGTAGTGCAAAGCAAAAGAGAACTGGCGAGTTAACAGATTTTCTAGATACTTCTGATAACGAAAACACAGAGTTCATGGAAACAAGACAGAGGAAGCGCACATCAAAGGATCCTTCGGCACGATGGTCTCTAATGCTCGATAGTCCAAAGGGTAAGCTCGTTATTTTCTACTGTAAACTTTACAATAATAACACGTGGACGTTTATTTTGCTGTTTTGGAAATCGCGATTTATTTTTATCTCCAACAGAGTCAAAACGTTTGAACAAATCATTTCAGCTACAAATTTTAAAGATGGTTTTGGAAAAGCTAAGGTTTTGGACACTTGTCAAAGAACGTCAAGATGCGAATCGAAAATATGAGGCTAGAAAATATAAACCCATCTAAAGAGCAAAATAGGCCACTTTAACTTTTTTTCTTGCTTGCATTAACTAGTTTGTTGTTTACACCTTACACCGTCGAAACCACGAGACCATAAATTAGCAAGGCTCCAACGGGTCAGACACTGCCCAAAAATGCAGCAAACCTTTGGCTGTTCAATAACAGACGGTACGAATATTTCTTCAATATACTAACGTACACACCTGTTAATTTTCCCTGACTTGCTATTTTACTCAAGTTAATTTAATCAAGCTTCATCTTCAGTCACTGCTCCTAAGTAAAATTGGTTTGCAATCAACCTTACATTGCTTTCAACTTAAAGGTTTTCTTTGAATATTCATTTTGCGATATTAACTAGCTCTTAGTAAGGGAGACGTTTATCCTGGTCTTCAGATAGAGATAGAGTGGAAAGAAGCTTATCTATAAGATACTCAAAGGGAGATGAGACTAGATCACCTCGGGATGAAAGGTACAGTTTTGTTTTTACTTATTGGGTCTCATATGCTCACAAAATTGATTTGAAAATACCAATTGCTTATTGAGCTCCTTGTTATCATAACATCTCATTAAAATATAAGTTACATCTATAAGCATTAATATCAAAATTGAGGATCACTCTACGAGCGAGGATTGCTCAGTGGGTAGGGTCGGTAACTCAGATCCAAGGGTCTGTGACACGAGCCCGTGAAATGATAAGTCTTTCGCTTAGGGTAAGGAACGTCACCAGCGCTCTGTGTTTCCACAAGACATGGTCATGTCGAGAGGAAGGACCAGGACACTGCTCGATAACCACAGCTTCTCAGTGTCTTGAGACTTCCTTCGGATGCTAGGTAGCAAAAACCAATACAAATCTCTTTACGTTTTTTAGAAGGCTAAGATGTATAAGTATGGTTGTAGAGGCTGGTCGTTTTCGTCATGCAGAAGATTTCCTACTTGAAATATCTATAATGACTTTAATAAAATAATAATAATAATAATAATAATAATAAAGGCATTTTTATAGCGCCGTATTTCCCCAGGGCTCATAGGCGCTTACCAAAAGTTCCTCCGCCTTGCAGCCTGTTCTTGCATTTTTCTGCTAGTTAGATCGTTTTTCGATTTCTCTGGTACGATTGTCATGACCAATCGTTTTAAAAATACTTTTTAGAAACCACAGAGCTTATCAAAAACAAAAGGGAGGGGCTCAATTTCTATGGATATGACTACAACTAAAATCTCTTATCTTCATCCGCTTTTGCAATCCATGTCTTTGTACTTTGTAGCTATGCTTGACTGAAACAACTTTCAAGTGGATACGTAGAGTTCTATTAAGTTTTTAGAGAAGATCTGGACCCTAAAGAGAATACGTATAATCATTTAACTATTTTATATTGCACTTTTATTAAGAGCTAACATTTCTATTGAAAGAGTATTCGAACACAACTACAAATGATCACTAATGAATAAACAATGTAAAACAAAGCAGCTCTTTCTATTCTTTTTACCCAATGAAGAGTTATTTTCGAAAAGTTTTTACAGTATTCAATTTTTCCATGTAAAAAGTCACTTTTCAAGTGAATTAAGTTATATTTTCAAATAATTATGTTGCTAGGCCATCGTCACAAATGTCAGGGTTCTTAGGCCGAGTGTATGGAGTCGAAAGTAGCGGATACAGTCCCGGTGTGGAATCTTGGAAGTCATCAACTGAACCTAGGCCGTATGCCAGTAAAGAAACGGCGACTCGTAGACATGGCTGGGACGAAAGATACAATCAAATGAAATCTCGAAGTATTGAGAGATCACCGGCTAGTAAAAAGAAAGGGCACAAAATGCAACGAACGTTGTCTGTTGACAACATTTTGTCAGATTTACCACCGCATCTTCAAAAAGGAGCTGCCAAGTTGTCAGAAAGTGTAAGCATGATTTTTTTGTACCAATACTTACTAGAAGTGGGTCATTTCAGGTGTTTATGACGTCAATAGGAGAACTTCTTTCCTCGTAATGCACCTTCATATCTGAAAATTCTCAAGCGTTTTCTCATAAGTCTTTCGTAATTTTAACTCTTTACCGCGTAAGCAGAAAATCTTAAACTTTTACTCAACACGCGGTGTGCTTTTAATTTGTTTGTTTCATACAATATGAAATATTTCGTACGCCATATTCAAATTTTGACAAACTATTGTGATTTGAGACTGAAATACGTTTAAACTTGTTCACAATAGATTGAAGTTTTGATTTGTGTTTCTTTGAGTGAATTTTTTTAATGATTTTAAGGGATGTCAAAAATATTGTTTTCTTATGGTTTGATTACAGTTTTATGCAAAAACTTACGCACGGCTCGCGCCACTGACCCTAAACTGGAAGGGCCAGCTATGTAAAAAAAAGTGTCTTCTTGCCCTCACCAGCAATCTCAATTTCATGAAGATAACGTGTAAGAAAATCCATTGCAAAGTAACAAAAAGGGGCATTGAAAGATTCACGATATCAAAAGGAGATGCAAGATGCTTTTTAAATATCAGTCTACTAAAGAAAAATCAGACTTTACTTTTCTAGAAAAGTTTGAAAGAGTTTTTTAACTCGCATTGGACTTGATGTTCCAGGACCAACGACTGTTAAATATCATGGTAACAAAGGCGAATAAAGAAGACGAAGACAAAAGACTACGAGCTGAAAGAAAACTCGAGCTGGCTGAGCAACGTCAAGTAGAAGCTGAACTGAAGCATTTGAAAATGAAGCAACACCAAATGCTTTTGGCTGACAAAATGCGGGAAAGTGAACGATTACGGGTGAGTGCAATAGGAATGTATTTATGTGAAATTGTCTCTGTTGAATATCTGTCGGCCTTTCAAGTAGATAAAGCCGATGCTCTGTCCATCCTTAAGATTAGATAATGTCACTGTGATGGTCGCCTTAATATCTCACTGGTAGATATGGTGATCAAATAAAGGGCCTGGACGTCTCCCGAACACAGGGTGTATAAGCAGCCCTCACAGGTGGCTGCTATCAATGTACATAAGTGTAGCCAAAACGAGTAAAGTATGGATCTTGCACGATAGTATTACTTCATAGAGACAGAACTGCCCGAATGAAGCCAGAAATGGTATGATCCTCCCTCTAGCCTCATGCCAGGTCAAGCACAATGCACAAATCCGGTATTCGGTGCTCGTTTTGGCCATTAAAAAGTAGAACATTTGAAAGTAGAAAATTATTTGATGTTTCCACCGGGCTGATTTGCATTTCCCTTCAGTTATCACCTTCACAGATATTGCTTCAGCTATTCAAACCCCTGGTTATTCAGACACATATCTATTCCCATCAGAACTACGAATAGATAGCGTTCGGAAGACGTCCTAGGCCGATTGAGGGTAAATACTCTGTTTGCTTGGAGTCAGTTTCTTCAAGCACTCTGCAGCTTGCTTCCTATTGACTACTTGTAGTGGGAACGATTTGATTTTACTTTTAACTGTCAACCACAGTGTACGATATATGTTAAATGTACTGAATCGACATAGAATACATAACTCATTTCCCCGCACGCCTTTAAGTACAAAACAGCCAAGACATTTTAGACCTATAGAATCAATCCTAATCCGAAAATCATGACAGGAGAGACATAGAAGAAAGTTGACTGAAAAGAACGAGGAGAAACAAAGACTTGTACAATCTGAGATCGACTATAAAAATGACTACTGGTTAGATGAATTTTCAAGAAACTTGGAGGTGAAGGTAAGTTCCTATAAGAAATTTCGTTTATATGGACATTTCAAATTCCCTTGTTGTTTTTATTTCTGTGATATGGTGATACAGATATAATCTTGATAAATTTGAAATAGCTGGCTCTCATAGTTTTTCATATGTACAGGATATTAGACAAAAATACTACACATTCATGAAATGCTACAGATAGCAACTAAAATCATGTGATTCTTATTTCTACTTTCAAACGTACTTTCAAACCTGTTAAAGATTCTTCCCTTGAGTATCCTAACTTCTTTTTCAAGTTTTTTTCTCATCACCAAGATGCTTGGCTGAGATACCTCAAGAGCTAATGTCGGAGAAAATCTAAAGCTTTTCAAAAATTACTTTTTCTTTAGAATAATGAATTACTTCTGAAGAAGATGCAGAAGGAAGAGCGAAAGGCTATACAAGTATGGACATATACCTCTTTATTTTGTTTTGCTGAATAGTTCTTAACTCTTATTCCAATAATTACTTAATTCTCATAAGTAATGATCAGCCATCTGTGCAACGTGGACTGTTGTTTTCACACTTTTTACCTACATAGGTTTCTTTTTATAACCTTTATCTGCCAATTAGCTTTTGCTGATTATTTTTTGTGCTTTTGTGCTCCCTCGTCAATCTAAGATTCTCTCAGTGTTCAAATTTGCCCCATAAAACACAACACATTTCTTGAGATACTGCTTGTTGAACATTTTAACCGCTTTATTATTGTGTACAAATATTTTATTAACATTAACTTGATCTTATCAGCATTGTTTCTCTTTCTTCAGGTACCAAATCATTTCATGTTATAAAAAGTAGAGGGGCATTTTTGCAAAATTTAAAAACTTAACTCGTTTTGTTCAGGAGCAGAATCTGGCAAGAATCGCAGAAGAAAAAGACTACTTGAGGAGCATGACTCATATGGGCCTTGAGGGTCGACATGTAACTGCTGCTAAGAATAAAGACATGCAAATAAGACTTGCCAAATCGGTTTGTAAACATATGTTTGTATGCAAGATGCCCAAGATTAAACAGACTAGATCTACTTGCTTTATTTTGGAATGGCATAGCCGTTCTCTTTATATTTACTAGGGTTGACATTATCAGAACTGTTTAGTTGTAGAATGCCTTTTAAAGTGAAAAAGCCCTACACCTTCGCAGAACTTGTAAACAAACTCTTGCGGGGAACTTGCGTTATCATGAAATAGGGAAATTTCTGATTCTTATACAATGGCAAAATACTGATTGCAAGACGTTTTTTTTAATTACAAGATGTGACAAGAATAATATTGTAACTTAGTTTTGATAAAGCACTCAACAATATTGACTTTATTGTTTTTCGTACCGTAGAAGCAATTCTTCAAAAACATGGAGGAGCAGCAGCGACATGAAAGGACAATGGAAGAAACCAAACGACGCTTATTGTAAGTCAGAAATGTTCGATTAACTTCCCTTTCACCCTTTGTGTATATGTAGAAAGATAGCCTCCTGATTATAGAAGCGTGTACACGAATACACACGTTTTATAAGAACAAATTTTTAAGGACATCAAGGCTTGAAAGTGGTGAAAGTTAAGAATTAACTAAGAATATTAGCGCAGCTCGATAATCATCGACATTTCGACTTGTTTCTTCATGAGTTTCTTGAGCAAACAAGCCATGCTGGAATTTCATTTTCTACCATGTGTCAGTGATAAATAAGTCGCTAGCAATGAGTTAAACTTTTTTTAAGACTTATTTTAGAATAATCTTAGGCTCAGAATCGCAAAGTTTTAGAACAATGAAGATATCCTCATAAAGCGTGTAACAAAATTATTAGCAAAAGCTTTTTTCCTCTGATACTCGTTTGAGTACAAGTCAGTTACATGTTCCAGATAATTAACTCAGTCGTCTTTTCACCTGGAAATTTTGAAATCGATCTACATAATTGTGTATACAGAAGAAGTTTGTTTTCACCCTTGGACTCCAGTGGTAATATTTCTACAGGCTTGCAGTACTGATTGGGTAACTATACCAGTCGTGTATTAGCGTTTTTCCTGATTGGTCTTTTTCGATCCAGAATTGGGTTTATATCTTCTTTCTCGATTTTTTCGGCCCTATTCTGACGTTTTCTACTATGAAGAGTGTAAATTTTCTTATCACTAAAAGACTGTCTATAACTGATTTTTAGAGAGGACCAGAAAGCTCTCCAGTATGCAATTGAAGCTAAGCAAAGACAAGCTGAATCAAACACACGTGCAAAAGAAAGCCAGCAAGATTTCCAAAGATCCCTTCATAAGTGAGTTTGCCCCTCTACGTTTTTAAACAAATATTTTCTATGTTAACTATGTTAACCTTTCATCGTTCATCGTACATCGTTCATTACAATGATAAGCAACGAATATTCGGTCCTGACGTAGGATGAAATCTCAAGCAAGAAAGGAGCAACAGGAAGAGTCATTGAAAAGAATGCATGATGATCTGGGAGTTTGGCAAAAAGAATTGAAAAGATACCAGCTACAGGTATTATTTTGGTTTATTCACCCTATCATATCAAAAACTTCGTAAATTGCGATGACAAAAGGTTACTTATTCATCAAAATTTCGTCATAATTTCATCATTCATATTGAGTTTTGTTTTTGTAACACGCTTTTTCTAATTTGCTTAAGTATCCAACATTCTAACGAAGCATTGAATTTGTCACGAGGTTCTGACTGCAATGCGGAATAAATAAATGGACCGGCTTACCAATGTTAAAATATATGCACCAGTGCCGTAGGAAGGATAGAATTATTTGGGAACAAAGGAACAAAAGGATCGTTCGTTGAAAAGAATCGTTCCTTTTGTTAACATGTTTGCAATTATTATCTTTATGGCCATTTCTTAGAAGGTTTTTTACAAATATTACTTAAATCGTATATTTTCTTTCGATATCCTAGCACATCTAAATAACTTCCACTCGTTTTAGCACGAGGAAAGAGCTCTGGAAACTGCAAAGCATAACGCTTACCTTAAAGGCAAAAAGGCAATGATGGAGCGGCTTCAGAAAGAGCATGATCATTTAACAAATAAAGCAAAGTAAGTTTTTATTTGACACCTTTTTTATACCTATCTTACTCAGCATGCTATGCAACCTACACTTTTTTGCTCGATATTTGAAATATTTTCTCCTGAAAGCTTTGCTTATCTTATTGCATTGTATACTTCATTTTCAAAGGATAAAAGAAGATGAAAAGCTCCGTTTAGCAGAGTTACAACATTATCTTCAACAAAAAGACGAGAAAAGCAAATTGGTAATAGAAGACAGAAAAGAAATGGCAAGATCTGTAAGTACACAAAAATCAAGTTTAATGATTTGGAAGATGTTCAGTTGAAACCGCAAATTCTAGATTTTTTTAATTAAAGCTTTTTTCTCGGAAGTAAGATTTTGATATAAAATTAAATCAGTCATTCACTTGCCCTAATATAATATCTTCTGGTGTCATGTCTAAATCATTGCTTCAAACAACTGTCAATCTTCTGTTTATTGGAGCTGCTGTTTATTCTAAGATTATTTTAGCCCAGATATGCACATTCACGTTCACTTAATGTTTCGTTATTGTCTTCATCAGTAGCAATTTATAGATGACAAATGCAACGAATGCTGAAAGGAAGCTGTCTGATATAATCGTTATTGTTTGAAGTTTTATTCTTAAGATAGGAAAGAAGAAAGCGCACGAGCAAGGTGCTAACATCTGCAGCGATATAAAGCTGCCAGTGGGCGATTGAGCATACCAATTTCCTATCATTTTGTGGTGGTTCCTTCGTATTTCTTTTACATACCGACCTTTCTTTTTCCATAATTCCTTGCACATATAATTTTTGCTGCCGAGTAAAGCAACTCTAAACCATGCGTTGTCTTCTCCTTCTCAAAAGTATCATTTTCAAGAATGCGTTTTGCACCAGGCCGCTTCCTTTCAATCGACTCATTGTTTTTATTTGTTTGTTTATTGGAAAACTTCAAACGCAAAAGTTCGTGAATTCAGGCCTCACTTAAAGACGCTCGATCATGCCAGAGACGACCCGAAGAAAACTTGAACCCCTAGCAGATCGTCTACAGGGTCATCATTTTAATAACTGGTTAGAATCCACACCTACCACAACTTAAAATGATTTAAATGAAAAAGTTAAATAAAACAAAAGAAAAACTTCCTGAATTTTCCCACGCTATCATTAAGTAGTAATTGGAGCAAAAATGAAGCCGAACTCATCCTATTTTAATTAAATAACTTCTGAATAAATAGCAAAAGCGTCAGTGGCTACAAAATGAGTGCCTCTGAATGATTTTCTGTGAGAGGTCTAGTTAACTTACATTTTAAGCAATTGATCTTGTCATAAAAGATAAATGCCATTTTGATCTGTTTGCATAGAACCGTGAGGCAGCTCTTGCTTCCAGAACCATGCGAGATTTCATCAAAGAGAAGACTATCAAAAGGTAAAATTTGTTCCATTTGTTGTTTATTCAATATTTTACTCCATGTCATGACAATTATAAATTTCTGCAAGATACTCAATCTGACACTAAACACCATAAATGTTTTTAGAACACATTATTTGATAGGCATTTAGAATATTCAGGATAAAGCTAGATTCTATTTTACTTTTTCATATATCATTCTGTGGTTTTCTTTCTAGGGTCTCCATTTATACAGTAATAATTTTTATTGTTGTACAATATTGGTTAAAGTTTTACCATTTGCTCTCTTTTCAGAATTAAATCAGAAATTGACATAAAGGTGCATATTTTAATGATAGTTTAGGTAAATAAAAAGGATCATTATGACATCTAAAATTATTGGGAGTTATTGAATTTACAGGATGCAAAACTGAATGGGCAAATTTGACAAATCACAAAGTGCAACTGTTGTATTAATTCTTACATCTCTATGGTTATTGTCCATTTTAGCTCATTCGACAAAATGGCAACAGAAGCTGAAATGATGGCAAGAATAGAGAAAAAAGGTTTTCGAAGTTCAGCAAAGAACATCACAACAATGAAGCTAGCGTAGATTTCTAATTATAATTAGTTATTGTAAATATATCAGTTTGAACAAATAAAAAGCAAAGTTTACATCAACAATAGTCATTGTTATATGCAGTTTTTACTACAAAATGTGACATGTTGACATAAAAAGCATAGAAACGGTCCAATGTTACAAATTTCAAACATTTATGTTCAACCTGATTCTGGAGGTTTGTCTGGAGGTTTTTGTAAGCATTTTTCATAGCCATGCAATGCATTGATTTAAAACGTCAATGCAACCAAATGTGTTTCTAAAATCTCTGTAGGCCATGTAACTAGTATTTACATGTTTGTCTCTGCCCCATTTATATTTTGAATTTCAGGATCCCCTCAAAATTTGAAGCTTTTTTCAATTCAAATTTTACATGTAATGAAAAATAGCATAATTTCTGGTAAGCTTCTTGACTGGATGCAAAAAGTGGATTGATGAATTCTTGCGGAATTTCCTTTCAAATAATAATTGATGCATTCATTAAATTTATTCTTTTTTATAAATTAATCTTTGGATGATCTGTTGCACCATTTAGTTACATTTTGCATAGTCCAATATTTCAAACAATTCTTGGGATCTAGCTGGCAGGAATAGGTTATTTTTGATTAAAGAAAATTTTTTATTTGGCTGGGGGTGCAGTTTTTGGTGAAAAGATAATGGTTTTCTAAAGTGTTTGGCCTAACTTGGCATAATTTATGCAGTTATCATTAGATCCAAACTGATAGAAACAAAAACTGGTCCAAATCAGCCTAGACCAGGGGTGTCCAACTTATTTTTTGAGTGGGCCATAGACAAAACCTCACTACACAGGCAGGCCAGATAATAGGTATTTCAATCATGGGCAAATTTGGTATTTAACAGTTAATGGATTGATAATTACAGTGACATAAAAAATTACATCAAAAGTTACGAAGACAGTTACATCAAAAAGTTTAGTTATCAATGTGAAAGGTTTAACATTTCTTGTTTACAGAAAGTCTAAAAACATAACACATTAAACTTGTGGTTGACATGTGAAGAAAGTCATGTTAATGTTTCTCTTCATGCCTAGATTGTAGCTTTGACTTGTTCTGTTCAGCTTTGTAATAAAAACATCTGCTTATAATAATGAGAAATTAATTTAGTTAGAAAGTATGCCACCGAATATTCCCTTGTGGGTCACATCTGGCCGGCAACTGTTTGTTGGACACCCCTGCCTTAGACTATATGGGATCAATTTTGCAAAATTGCCAGTTGTCTAGATTTTGATGTCTGGTGATATGCTTGGTGCCAAGTTCAGAAACAACCATATAATCAGCCCTAAGAGATTGTAACGGCTCCTTTCACATAACGTTTCCAGCTAAAGGATAAGAAAATATCAGTGTAGAAAAGATACTTGTTTATTTCTTTTCAAGTATGCTATGTTTGTCAGTTTACAGGTTTCAGGTTTTTTTAAAAAGAATTGTGTGTTTTCAGACCCGATATACCTGTATTTTTATGTTATGGAAACAAGGCTGGTTAATACTTCTCACAACTTTTTAAAGTAAATTCTTGATTTTTAAAGTTATTCTTATTTCTAATAATTTATTCTCATAAATTATTCTAAGATGATTGAATCCAAATTTGATTCATCACATTTTTTACATAAAATGAAAGATGCTTTGATGGTGCTCCTATGCCAGCTTATCTAGTTAAATGGTGAATTTAGCAATGGTAGACACAATTTTCATACTGGGATTACACAACAAAAATGTCGCTGTTTTAAGGTCAGGTGTAAAATGAAGCAAGTTGTAAACTACACAGTTTGCTGTATTTTTACACAACACAAATATGCTACAGTTTATATTGATGTAAATAAGAGCAAATGCATAGCAAAGATATTTGCCAAGCACTCTTCTGTTTAATTTACAATATCTATTTGCTAGGCACCACCCTATTAAAGCTTATCACAATACATATATTAGAAAGAAGGTTAAGAGCTAAATTTCTGTAAAAACTAAACATCAGACAACCTTGTGAAATTCCTTAGTCCATTTGGCAAGTTACCAGATACATTGCAAACAATTTCCCCTGATTCTTTCAGAGTTTCCAAATGTACCCTAGTAGGTATCCATTCAGATTCTGTGTGCAACCTCTCAAACAGAATGCTTAGCACACCAGCTCCTTTTTTACCTTCAATATAACAATTAGCAATCCACTTATTATGTCCATCATCATCTGTTTGGGGCAGGTTTGCATCCATTATTGTGCCATTATTACATTTGTATCCACATATCTCAACAGGGCCACCAAGGGATAGCCTCACCCCTTCTTCCTTGCTCAACTTTTGCCAAACTTCGTTGAAGGCACTCAGTTTCTGATTAACTTCATTTCTAAGCCTGTCGTTGTCATTTAATATGATAGCTTCTGCATTAGAGCTTTGATCATCATTCAAAACACCAAGAAACCTCAGGTCCCTTGGAATCGCTCCAACTTCTGGTGATTCGACTTCTACTCTCTCTGACTTTTCAACTTTGAAATCCTCCACCCAAAAGTACACAAAAATCAAGGCAGCCCATACACTAGCACCAGTCACCAAACAAACCGTTTTTAGAACACGTAACAATAAACTTTGCTTTTTCGCCGGTTTCGCATCTGCTTGATTAAATCGAAAGGAGCTGCTTGAAAATAACTTTGTCCTAATTAAAATTCCGGAATCTACCACTAACGAAATATTTCTTTTACGAACGATTCTATCGCTTACAGAACAAAATTCTCGGCCCGGTATAAATTTGATATTTTTCGGAGTAATACACTGGCTCCTTAAAAATGATGCTGAAGATCCAAAATTCAGTTGGAACAACTTGAGGATTCTGGCATCAGGCAGAGCAATAAGCCTTGCAAACATGGCGCTTTACATTCCAAAATAATTTCAAAACATTATCTGAAATGGATTTCTACTGCAAACGCTAATCGCGATAAATTTTGCAGTAGAAGCAATGCTTTCCTGTGTCTAACTTAAGAGTCTATTTACCCCTCAATTTCCTTCGTTGCAAAGCTTTTTCATTCACATCATAATTCTTTCGGAAAGCCGGCCTAAGTGCTGCTCCGGAGTGGTTTTTCTTTACCCCGTACTCAAGTTATGATTCAAGAAATATTTTCTTCCTGAAAATGTCATCATTAAATATCTCTAAATGTGAAATATTAGTTAAATGTGTTACAAATTGGCTGCGAGCACGTTTTTTCCCAAGAACTATTCAGTGCAGGCACCGCGGAGCGTTGAGAAAAATGGGGATCTAAAAAAAGGGGGGGGGGGGGCTGAAACCGAATTAAAAAAGTGGTTTGACTGGTGATTCAATGGTAAATATTTTTGCATTTTGGCAAAAAGTGGGGCGATAGCTTCCAGCCCCTTCCCCGTGGTGCCTGCCTGAAAACGCTGCCTGAAAATTTATGATAAGGTGATTTAATTGAATAGCAATTTTCCTATAAATTCGATAAAGCCTAGTTTCCACTGCACGATTATCGCGATAAAGGAGACAAATTCAAACTGGCTTTCGCCTTTAGCATGACAACCATGGAGTTTTTAACAACTCAATAAACTATAAAACAACAACACCCAATACAAAACATCCCCGTAAAGACACAGAAACTGAAGTTCCATGTGCCAGGAGGGTCTAGGCAGGCTAAAAATTGAGAACCTAGTAAGCTATAACGGCCTTTCTAAACTCACTTGGCCTTATTTTATATCATTTGTGAGTCTTAAAAATTCATGACCATCACAATTAATAAAATTAAGAAATTCAACACATGTTCGTTCTCTATTACCCCGCTCAAAAGCGCATGCGCTTATAAACTGAAATTCATGATTTGACTTTTTACTGGGTACAAAAAACGGTTTAGATACAGGCACATGCGCCTATAAGTAAAAAGAAAGATTATACCACAAAGTTGCAGGAGTAATGTCTCAACAATTGAAACAGCATATTCTAACAGTTATTCAATAAAACCTTCTTCAGGATCCGAATCATTATCAATGATCATTGGTTCTTCATTCAGATGTTCTTCATTAAAGTTGTCTTTGTCGTCATGTCAGGTTATACACAAAGGACAACTTGAAAAAATGGTTTTTGCAAGAGAGAAATGGCATTTAAACGTTGCAAGAGATTTTTGCAAGAGAGAAATCGCATTTAAACGTTGGCAGAGAGAAGTGGATAGCCATATTGCTGTTTCTTGTTTTTTTATTTTTCTCGCGAAATTGGTAAGATCTCAAGATCCACTTAGAAGCACACTGCCCCCTTTCAATGATGTGCACCTATAAGCTGTGTAAAAGGGTACACAGAAAATTAAAAAAAAACCAGTGCTTCTTGGCCTTTCATGTCAAATCATAAATTAATATATTGTGAAAAGCAAGATAAAAAAAATCACTCTGAGGAGTTAATCAACTTCTGAAAAGGGTACCTGTATTCTTTCAGATAAAAAAATTGACAAATTTGAGAAAAAGATATCATTTACTCTAACTATTATATGAAGTACATTAAATTGAATACAAAAAAACAGAGCGGCAACAACCGTTAATGGATGAGGCAGAATGAAAATTTTTTGAACAAACCAAAACTGAGGGTGCGTTAAAGGGAAGTTTAAGTTTAGTTCAACAGACTTCTAAATTCAGTATAATGTACAATAAAAAATGAAATTAAATACTTTAGGATAATTTGTTCATAGATCCTTGTTTGGAGGTAATTGGTATTTAAAGAAATGTCTTCTTTCTCGTTGACTACAACCTCCTATGACCACGACTTGCTCTCTGGAAAGGATTCCGTTGCATTTTTTAGAGAAACTGCAAAATAATAGATTAGTGATGGACAAACCAGATATTCCTAGTTATATCAAAACAAAAATTTAAATATCTTGATATTGAACTGATATTGCAACAGATAATTATGTTGAGTTTGGTTTGTTGTATCTTCTCAGCATTAACAAATTTAATCAAACTGCCAAAAAACCCAAAACTTAACAAAGATATATATATATGTAAATCTCTTTAAGGCTTTCGTTATGTTTACATACTTTCATTATTGGTCAGGCAAGCTTGATAGTCTCCAACCTTACATTTTAAAGTTGCTATGAAAAGACCTATCCTCACTGAGATTTCAACATCTTCCCGAATACTGACATATCATTTCGGAACAACAAATCAACATCAAAAGAATATCTAAAAGTAGAAACCTTTCAGAAAATCTTTTGTGTCTTGTTTGTTGGAAAGGAAGAATATATTGCTTTTCTTCAAATATATTTGCTTAAAAAGAAAAATTGAGAAAAATTACAAGATGTAAAGATTTTAATACAAAAGTGTGAAATTTTATGGGCTGTGGTGTATTTTTCATAAGCATAGGCTCAGTTTTTTAGGCTTTGAAGCTCAATTAAAGAGACAGGCAGTGCCAAAAATTTTAAAAAAAGGACCTACATGTAAACTTATCTTCTGTTTTGAATATTTTTACTTTTAGATAAAGTTATAGTTTATAGTATATTTTCTTAACATTTATGGCAGTGCCATTCATTTTCATTTTGTTCTTTCATTTCATTATTGATTTTCAAATATGATGAAAGAAGAAATAATGTATAATGGTCTTAGAAATGACCACCATTTTATCATTCAATGCAATATCTTATATCTGCTTCAACACAATCAAAATAATTATATTGCAATGAAAAAAGCTGTTAGCAAAGAATTTTCTACAAGTGCACACAAGAGCATTGCACTTGGCTAGGCTGTCAGACCCTTGGTGTGTTAACATTTATTTTTTTGGATCCACCTCCCATTCATACTTGAGCCTTTTTCAATTGAAATCATAGAGAAAAATTCCCCTATAACTCTCCCTTTGTGCTTGAGGATTTCTGTAGTAGGCATCAAACAAAGAGTAATTTAAAAAATGGACAAACTGCCCATTTGTTGTCTCAAATCAGCCACTCCCCCCCCCCCAAACCTAAGGAAGTTTCCTGCTTGCTTTGCTCCCAGGGAGCTTCTCTTCTGTTTTACCCAAGCACCAAAGAAATATTTCATGGCCCTGACTAATGACACTTGAAAATTGCATAGCTTGTTCTAAAATATTATGGCAATATGAGGAGTTTTCCTGTATTCTTAGGGGCATGGTCTGCAAAACATTTCCAGCGGTTAGACATCTGGAAACCAAGTTCAAACATGCCTAGAACCTTTCCACTCTGGCTACACTGTTGATGCATGTTTACCACTTCCATTTGATAATGATACAACATTAAACAATTTAAGGTTTGTTAAAACAATACCCCCAATAAAAGACACATCCCTGTTTAAAAGATCTACTATACTACGTATCCTCCTGTGAGCAGTGGCGAAGCTAAAGGTCGTGCCTGTCGTGCCCGGCACGACCATAAACTTCCAAAAGTAAGGTTTTCACATATTGGCAAAAATTTATTTTGCTCCGCGAAAAGTTTTCAAATATAGACAAAAATTAGTCGTATAATCGACAAATCGATCAATTCAGGAGCGGAGTAGAAATCCACAGGGTTTCATATTGGTCGTGCCCAAAATCTGGTACCTTGTGATTTGGTTGTGCCCAACAATAGAAGCTTCAATTGGACAGCCTATGTTTGGTCGTGCCCAACAATAGAGAAAAACAATGCTAGTCGTGCCCTCAGAAATGAGCACGACCTCGTCATAATAATAATAATAGTTGAGGTACGATTTCCAGCGTTTGATTGGCTGAAGCTGGAGGAAATCAATCACGAGGTCGTGCCCGTTTCTGAAGGCAAGACTATCTGCACCCTGTTGGGGCCTACTTGTCAATACTGCAGGCGTTTGTGGATGTTGGTGTGATATCAGGGTGATTTAAATGGTGCATGTAAATGTTCCAGTCCAATAAACCGTTGTAATTTATCAGGAAACTGGTTAACGACTGTGGAGAGATTGTTTCATAGTTATTTTGACTCAGCCTGTACGGAATCAATCCAATGGATCTCTTTGGTAGGCGAACAAGTTCTCATTCACCTAAACAGAATCAAGATCTTCAAATGTGCAAGATGCTATGCTATCTTATCTAGAAAATGGACAATAATTTGAATATTATCTGGATGTTTTTAACGCGATCAGAATGAAAAATATGGCAGTTTTTCGCTCGGATTTGTACCAGAGAGACGCACACTGAACGGGATAAACTCAATCAATCAATCAATAAAATAATCAATAATTATTTTGACAACAGTATACTTAGGTGTTGAAGACGAAGTATTATGAACATTTGGGGCAAAATGTACATAAATATCTATTCATTTTACATTAGTTACGAGGTGTTTGATGTATTTTTGGACTAGAATTTTCCCAGTAGAAAGTTCTGAATTTTGAAAGTATTTATAGTAGAAAACCTCTTTGCAAATTAGCTCTACTGGAGTTTTACCCTCCTTAAAACACGTGAAAGGGAAAAATGAAATAGCATTGATCAACCTGTTGATGATTTTGTTTATGTTTCTGATGATATGTTTTCAAGCTCAGCCTAGTGATTTTCTGATTTTTTCCCTTGCTTTCCATGTAATTTGGTTGTGTGCAGTTTCCTTGGGTGTGCATATATTTTCCTTAATATAGGTAACTTTCTCCATGAATTAGTCAGTTTGTCTTTAATAAGCAGGGTGAAATAATCTTTAAGCTATTACACATACCCCCCTTAATTTTTTGCTCAAGAAACACTGTTGTCTGCAAATAATTCTCAGGCTCATGATTATTCTGTATTAAATTTGTGACCCCAGTCATCTGATCTCAGTATTTCCACCTAGCTGGACACTGAAGAAATTTATTGAACATTCTTCATTTGTGTATGCTGCCCTGTTTATTCATAAATTGTCATGATCTGTTTTTCAATGATTAATTTAATGCTGCTTTTCAATTGGAATTTTATTCAAACCTTATAATGGTTATTTCATCTTATGCAACTTTCAAATATTGTCATACATGGTGTAGTTTATCATTTTCTCATAAGGTATAACCTTAAATTAAGTATCTAATTGATTGGTGAATCTCTGTGAGTGGTTTGGTTCAGCTTAACAAAGTGGCTACCTACAAATCTTTATGCAACAAACCTGATGAAAAAACAGGTCTCAAGGATTTTAAAAAAAGATTGTCTTCATTCTGCCACTCACTATTTAGTGCTTTTTACTGTGGCTAGATCAATAATGCTGCATGACAGTACTGTCTTCAGCAGATATTCTAATATTTCTGTTTCATCTGTTTCATTTGTCATCTAATTCTTGATACATGCCTTGCACTTCACAGTCAAGTTTGCCTTTAAAGCCAAACTTTTGCCTCTTTTTTGAATGAAATTCTAAATTTTATGTGTGCAAAACAAATAGTGCTTGCAATTATTATACATTTGAAATCTGAGTCCACAAGTGTATATTTTGGTCCCATTGTTGCAATAATTTGATAAAATTTTAGGAAAAGTTTGTTGTTCAAGCTTTGTTATCCTGTGAACTGATATTTGGGTAAATAATACCAGAAATAAAAAAAAGTTGCCAGGAACCTCTATCACACTTTGGGAAGAAAATGAATTTTGAGTATCAGCCAGAGGCAGGGGAGACACAAAAGCAGCTTTTATACTTTTAAATTTAGTTTGTTTCTGTCGTGTCAGAAAAGTAATGCAGTGCCATGCAATTGCTATATGAGCTCCTTAGATCACTAAAATATTTTTTTGGATAATATTGCGGAGGCGCATTTCTGTTGCGCAGTGGCCAATGGGCACGACCATCCATGGGAGTCCAGCTTCGCCACTGCCTGTGAGGGTTTGCTTAGCATGACATGCCTATATTTTTGTAGCTGTATTTTGTAGTTGTGATTAATTGTATTTGATCACTACTGAAATGATTTATATTCAGCATTTTACTGGTACATACCTTGCCAGCTTTGATTGTTTCAAGTTCTGATTTGGCAACATTCAATTCGATAATCTACAAAAGTGAGATTCACAGGTCATCAAGTAGAGTAAAATCAAGTATATGAGCCATAAAAACTATTCTTGTACTCTAAACGTACAGCAACACTACAAATTTTCTAAAGAAGGGAAGATAAGTTACCCGTTTTTGTAAAATTAAATCATCCTTCCCATCCTCCATGTTGTTAGTTCGTGCTTTTGCTGTGGCATGGTGAATAGCCTCGCTTAGAGGGAAAAGACGTTGCGGGGGAGCATTTATCAGTGCCTTTCGAAAAGAAAGTTGAGAAGTCATTAGGTATTCTACCTTCCTCGGCAAATACAATTATTGGTATGGATATTTCACTTTAAAATCTAGTTCGCCGCTTTTTAAATTTAATAGATACATCATAAGCTAATATAAAGGAAGCCTTCATGCTATCTACTGTATGTCCAAAAGATCATCGAAACAGGTTTTCGTAATCTGTTGAATGGACTATCTTCTAATATACTTACATTATCGACCAAATTACTGTACTCAAAGCTTTTAGCATGTTGTTCCTGCAATTATTGAGATTACTTAGATACATTCAAAGATACAATCAACTATCTGTGTTAAGATTTGTGTTGGCTTTTAATAGTATATATTAAACCTGTAAAGTAAAGACTTTAATTTCAATCTTCAAATTCTATATTCAGCATGCCTTCTGGGATTTAGCTTGCCAGAGATTCTACCTAACATTTATCAAGAAAAAGGCAACTTGCAAATAGAACTGCTTCACATATATTTCCTATGCATAAGTGCAGATAAAACTCACAAATTACAATGATAAAGAATTATACTTGCTGCAGATCTCGCATAAATTGGCTATTGAATGCAGACTGGGATACTGCTTCTTGCCACACTTTCTAGACAACATTATACAGCCTGCATTTTACCTCCTAATCACTTAAAAACAACTTTGAGTGAATATAAAGTATTATTTGCGGGGCCGGAAAATGTCCAGCAGCACCGGCAGTGCCAGGTGCTGCTGTTCAAATAGCTGTTCTGTTCAAATTGCTGTTCAAATAGCTATGATAAAAGATCAAGGACAAACAATTAGTTCTTTTTTAGTATGACAGTTTGTGTTAAGGACAAATCTTTAAACAAATCAAGCAACTTGAAATATCACTTTCAGTGGCTGGAAACTTTGTCAAAACTTCACAGGAAATCTTGAATTTTCATTTTGCTGCCAGGAAGAAAAATTATTTTTCAAGCCCTGATTATTAGGCCCACATTTCATTTGCACTCTACCTAGATAATTTTCTGTAAATCCAATGTTAGAAATATCAAACAATGTTAGGGATCATACTTTTCTACAGTCAGTTTTTTTCTGATTTCCTGCAATTTCTAAATATAAATAGCTATATTAGCTTGTTCATCTCTAACCAGGTTTTGGTCAAGCACAATTTGTTATGGGTGTCTTGGAAGATAATTTCCTTAATCAATACATTAGGAGGCCCAACAGGGTGAGAGTTTTTCAAGATTTTTTCCAGGTAAGAATTTTTTCCAACCTTTTTTAATTGTGTCAATTCAATTAATGAGTGCAAAATAAATCCAACACAAGCTTTACATTGATACACATCTCTGATTTGTGATGCATATCTTGGAATATATGTCAATTAAGTTTGGGATTCCAAAGCTGCATGGCACCTAAGAAAATTAAACAATTTTAAATGGACAAGCACAAGATGAAGCTTTTTCTCAAAATTTAGTCTGAAAGAAACCACAGTTGGCAATTTGAAGATTACTACTTGGGAGTAAATAGTTCATGGTAAGTAGGAATCCAGAGATGGAACAGTAACTGATGTCATTTGGTTGGGGAAAAACAGAAAACGACTTGAGAAACTTGCTGTGTTTCAAGAGCAGCTACTGGAAATCTCAATTAATTCAGTTCATATTCAAATTTGAGTCAAATTTAACACAAGCCATATCAATCCAATGATATCCTGAAGATCATTTTTGCCTAAACTTTATGAAATAATATTTACTGTTTTCTCACATGGGCAAGGATCTGCCTGTATTTGATTCATTTTAGTTGATTGTATCAATTTATTGTATTATTTTAGAAAGGAAACAAGCCAGTCTTCCTGAAAACAAAAGCAGATGCAACCCTATACAAATCTCTTATGTCAGTATCAGTTGTTGGGTTAGGTTTGTCTTTCTACTTTATGGGAATGATGGCTAGTGGAAAAATGAAGAAAAATTAATGACAAAGTTAACAGCAAAATCAATGAACTTGTAGCAACTTTGAAATTAAATTTCTATTGTTCTACCGGAGAGCTAATTTTCTGTCTTGTGTATAAAAATATTGCATGCAGTGATTGTTTTAGATAATTCTTGATCTGTGTAGTCGATGATAGTCGACCAGTTCAATTCAATATGTGCCTTTATTTTCTACTGTGTATTCTCTTTGCTGGGGCTGTTTATTGAAAATATTTCAAGGCTGCTAGTGGTCAAAGGAACCCAAAATATGTTATTATTCGAGAGAAATTCAGTTTTAAAAATGTGCAAGTGTTATGGTTTGAGAATCACATGATTATAATGACCATTTATGTATTAGCCAAAGTGAGCAGTCAAGTACATCCTGAGGGGTTAAAGATTGACTAAGTTCCCCCTTTAAATATTTGGAAAGCTGGTTCTAAATTGATACGAAGTCCGACCTAAGATGGTTTGGAGTTCGAAACAATTGTAAAACATATTAAATAATTATGATGATGTGCTTTAAAGGACTTTCTTTGCAGAAATTTTTTTGAATTTACCAGGAAATGACAATAATATGTTTTCACCCAACTGCTGGGTATGGATTACTTCAACCACCCCATGCTTGTATATTGTAGTGGATTTGGATATGTTAACGCTCTAACGCAGACAAAAATAATGTAAAGATGAGATTTGGCACCGATGTTCTTTACTATGTTGGAAATTACGAGAAAAAGAGCCCCATCAAATGGACTTTCGGAGTTCCTTATTTGGTCAAATCCTTTAATGGCAGACTTGTTAGAAATGGTTCAAATTTTGATGTGGCTCAAGTCACTGAATTTGTATGTCTTTTGAAAGACAATTTCATGCTAAGTTAATATAAGAAAGTAGGACGAGTGAATATTGAGAAATCGCACGAACAAATCGGCTGATGTTCCTGCTGAATGTTTTCATTTTAATTTGCAAATTCTAACGATGCAAAGTCCACTGCCAAATTCAGTGAGAAATCTGAGTGCCTGCCTAACCTTACAGCTCGATGTGGGGCAAATGACATTCCCTTCACCCCCTTCTTTCCAGCCAAGTGGTCAATTTGTTAACCCCAAGTACCCGAAAACCTCAAAATAAAATGTTTGGGTAAAATCGGATATCCGTATTAAAATTTGGAAAATCCAATATAAATACCTGAGGGGCATTGCGCTTAGGAAATCCCGTTACCCTTTCTTGAAATCCAAAAAATTCAGGAAATTGTTGCAAAATCCTTTTTAAAATCCGTCAAGATCTTCATGAGATCTTAAAACTCCTGAAATGTTACAAGTGTTCCATGAGCTACAACATTTTTAAGAATGTCCTCATTCTACTTTCTACAAATCGTTTTAAATCGTGCAATATTTAATGGCTAAATTGGAAGAGTCTTAAATTTCTTGCACAAATTTCCGAAATGCTCTCAAGTCCTCTTTCCTGTTATCAGTAATGAGATGAGAGAGTAACTATGCATTTCAATTATTATGAAGCTAGCAACGACTGATATGAAGCTTTAAGAAATTTGCATAAACTTAAAAACTTTCCTATATGAAAGCAAACGGAAGGCTAAGAAAAAGAGATTTTGAGTCACAAACTTGCACGCCTGACGCCTTTTTTTGCACAGCACGTATTTAGTTGCACGCATAATCTACTATTTGCTGTTATTTCATTGCACTCATTCATATCGTTTCGTGTATATTCTGAGCTTCACAATTAAAGTGAATACTAATAAAATATATTAAAGGGCACATGTCGCATTAACAGTTGGCTTATAAAACAAAAGCGTTTGGAATGGATTTCAATTGTTTCGTGAATTTTAATTTCTTCTTCTTGAATTTTCACTGCCTTAAAAAGTTCACCCTTGATTCCATGCTTTATACTAAACAAAAAAGATAATTATATTGCATTGGCTAATCATGTTCACAACACATGTCTTTTAAGGGCAGAAAGTATTAAGAATTATTTTTAATGGATTGAAAGGTCTATTTGTAATCTTGCAACAGTAACCTTAATTGGGCGGAAACATCTTTGTATGGCAAGGGATATCGTTCCAAATCTTTACACCAGCTGTTGTGATAAATTGAATGTTGTAGGCAGGGGCGGTCTGGCCCGGGTGGCAAAGTGGCGAGGCCTTTCCGCGTTGGAGAAATTTTTTAACTTAATGTCAAATACATGCACCTAGACGATTTTAATGTCAAATACATGCACCTGATAATTTCAAAAGAAGAGAAAACTTTCCACTTGATTACGAGCAGGTCATTGGCCAATGTGCTGATTCATTTGCACTTCTTCGAAAAGAGTTGAAACTCTGAGAATTTAGATAAGTTTTGATCTTGATTTTTAACTCTACATAGGATTTTAAAGCCTGTTTACACGAGAGGAAAGGTATGGATCCAATTGGGTCCGAATTTACGAATTAAAGTCGATATACTGCTGCTGTTTAGCGTATTGCTTTATTATCAATTTTTGTTGAATCAATCGTATTCTAAGCCACATATTAGTGGGTGTTGTTAAACTTTTCCCGCCACGCCCTAAACCGGGCCCTTGAATTTTCTAGCCACCCTGCGATTTTGACCCCAGACTGCCCCTGGTTTCGAACCTGCTTGTATCTTGGCCATAGTACTGGATCTCTCTCAGCCCGTCTCTTAATACGGTCTCTCTCGCACATCGAATTCTTGATGCTTGGAGAAATCCATGGTACATGTGCATGCCCCGTCTAAGCGGTCCTTTTTTCAACGGGGCATGCACATCCATAACAGCGAGAAAGCGATCGTAGAAATTGCTAGCCATCCTATCAGGGTCATCTGATCTACATGACATAGCCATCTCCCAGTCAATACTACGCAAGTCATTAAGAAAGCAACGGCGTAGACTTGCACTTTTTTCAGGGGGGCGGGGGGGGGCTGAAAAAATTAATGACAATTCCTAATGACAGCTGCTGATGTCCCAGGATAGAAAGTGGATTAGCTAAGGGCTTAAAGGTGATTTTTCCGTGCATT